CCCTCAAGATCACCCCAAGACGGCCCGAGAGACCCTCAAGACCGCTCAAAGACGGCCCAAGAGCGCTCCAAGAAGGCCCAAGAAACCCTCAAGACGGTCCAAGAGGCCCCAAGACGGCCCCATGATTGAGGTCCACAGGGGCAACCTGAACGGAAATTTTGAGCCTCCCGCCCAAACACGCCCCCGAAATGCCCCTACAAGCCCCCAAATAGCCCCACGAAGCCCCCAAGAGAGCCCCAAGAGGCCCCCAACAGGCCGCAAGAAAGCCCCAAGAGGCCCCCAAGAGACCCCCAGGAAGCTCCCAGGAGGCCCCCAAGAGGCCAGGCAGACCCCCCCAAGAGACCACCAAGAGGGCCCACCCAGAGCCATCCACGAGGCCTCCCAAAGTTCCCAAGAAGCTCCCACGAAGCTTCCAAGGGCTCCCAAGACCCCACGAGGCCTCCAAGAGCTCCCAAGAAGCTTCCCAGAAGCCTCCAAGGGCTCCCAAGAGGGTCACAAGTACTCCTCCTGAGAAGCTCCTTGATGCTCCCAGAAGAGACTCCCAGAAGCATCCATGAGCTCTCCGAGATGCCCCCTCCCCAGATCCCCAACACTCAGTTTTTCTCGCGTCCCTCACCCTTGGATCCTTCACTGCGTTTTCCTCCAATTTCGATTGGATGAGGATGAGCTTGGGATGGTCCTGGAAATGTGTGGGGGGCTCTGGAGGTCAGCGTGAATTCTGAGAGGTTGTCGGTTGCGTGTCTTCTGTAAACACAACCAACAATATGAATAATGGAAAGACCGCGCATACATCACCGATCCCCAAACGGCCCACATGTGCATGCATTCGGCAACGTGTATGATGTGGGATGTCAAGCACGACTGGCCCCATCCTCCTCGAAGTGGTCGCCCTCATCATCCTCCGCCTCCACCTCCTTCTATCCGTCCCTCCCTCCCTCATATCCCTGCCCCACCTCCCTCTCCTCCATTTTCTCCTCTTCCTCCTCATATTCCCTCCCAAATGGGGCGGGGCGGACCCCGGGCGAACCCTCAGGAACCCCGACAACATACAGGAATCCCTGCAAAGCTCCGAGGAGGAGGAGGAGGAGGAGGAGGAGGAGGAGCAGGAGGAGGAGGAGGAACAGCAGCAGCAGCAACGGCAACAGAACGGCCCACGAGACGCCCGAACGGCCCAAGGGAGCCCCAAGAGAGCCCCAAAGAGGGACCCAAGAGAGGGAACACGAACCGACAATTCGAGACTTCCGCCCCAAGCAGCCCCCATGAGGCCCCAAGAGGCCTGCAAGAGACCCCAAGAGGCCTAAACAGAAGCCCCAAGAAGCCCCCCGACGGCCCCCAAGAGCCCTCAAAACTGCCTCAAAGAAACCCTCGAAAGGCCTGCCACGATATCTCAACGAACATCCAAGAGGCCTCTGACCTACAACCCAGGCACGGTGGCGGGATGGGCCGAAAACCACTAGATCCGCCGCCCCCTGCTTGCAGGGGTGCACGGCGTGCTGGATGAGCTGTCAGGTTTTGGTTTTGGTTCTTTTTCCAAAAGAACTCCCCAGTGGGCTCCGGCCCGTCCCGCCACCGTGCCCAAAAACGGCCGTTTCGCTCGGGACATCCTCAAAAAATCGCGAAGATGGCCCAAGATGGCCTCCAAGTGCGCCCGAGATGGTCCAAGACGGCCTCCAAGACGGCCCAAGAGAGTCCAAGACGGCCCAAGACGGCCCAAGAGGCCCCCCAGAGGCCTCCCAGACGGCCCAAGAGGCCTCCAAGAGGTCCTCCAGGAGAGTCCGAAGAGGGCAAAATCATTGATTTTCCCATTGGTTTTTGAAGGATTTTGGCATTTGCGCCTTTTCGGCTCTCCGACGGCTCAAGACGGCCCAAGAAGCCCCCAAGATCGCCCAAGAGGCCCCCAAGAGAGCCCCCTGATGGCCCAAGTGGCCTCCAAGATGGCCCCTAGAGGGCCCCAAGACGGCCCAAGAGGCCTCCAACACGCCCAAGATGGCCTCCAAGACGCCCAAGATGGCCTCCAAGACGGCCCTGGAGCGCCCCAAGAGGGTCCCCCGTTGGCCCAGAAAGGCCCCCAAAACGGCTCCCGACGGCGTCAGACGTGCCAGGAACCCACCAAGATGGCCGAAGTTGGCTCGAAGCTGGCCCAAAAGGGCCCAAGAGGCCCCCAAGAGGGCCTCCAGGAAGGCCAAAAGATGCCAAAATCACTGATTTTCCTAAGGTTTTTGATGGATTTGGGCATTTCCCTTCTTTCGGCCTTCCGACGGCCCGAGACGGCCCAAGAGCCCCCAAAGATCGCCGAAAGATCGCCCAAGAGGCCTCCAAGACGGCGACGATGACCATCAAGACGCCCACGTGTTCCCCGAAGGCTTTCCAAACCGATTCGGGGAACACATGGTCCGATGGCTTGGCAGGTCTGGCCTCAACGTTCGGCCACATAGGCGCTTCCACAAAGGCAGGGGGCGGCGGTGATTCGCCGTTGGCGTCTTCGATAGCCACATCGTAAGACAGTAGAGGCCGAAGCCCCCACAACAAGCTCCAAACAAACTGCTTCATCCCCATGCGTTCTGCCGCAACGCCTCTGGAAAACGACCACGGCCCACCAGCGCCGCCTGGCTCGCGACCGCGCAAGCAAACGCCCGCGATGGCACAATACGGGCCGGCGGAATGAGCGAAGCGATTCAATGGGTTGTCAGAGTGGTTCACGCTGACGCCGCGCAGCTGTTGGACGTCAACAAGCCCTGGAACAGGTGCGCTGACCCAGGCCAGGCCGCAGTGCTTAGCCTCGCCAGAACTGGTTGCCAACTAGCTCGGCACAGCCTGTTGCTCGATCATCGCCAGCGCGAGATCGACCTCGACTTTTTTTCGCCCGGTGCTGTCTGCCAGGCGGTCCGTGCCTCTGCCTGTGCCGCCTCTGATGCCACAGCTCTGAGAAGGCTTGGGAGTCCTTGGGTTTCGGAGCTCCATGGTTTCGGCGCTGGCTAGAACCTCAGAGCTGTGGACCAAGAGGCACGTCAACGCCTCCAGATCTGCCAACTGCGGGGCCCCCTGGAGCCAGAGCAGGCTTCACGCGAAAGGGAGAGCCACCCACTCGTTTCGCGTGAAATGCGGGGCCCGTGGGACCCTCTGGCACCGTTGTTTCGATTGCCCTAGCATGGAGTTTCTCTGGAGAGAGTTTTGTCCGCCCGAGCTGCGCATGGCGGCTCGCATTGCCCTCAGAGAGGGCGAGGATTGCGGTGAATACTTAACCAGGGGCCTCCTGCCCTCGCCGTCGCATGTCTTTCAGGATCCAGATATCCCCGAGGAGGATCATATCCGCTTCGTGGGGTGTATGCCTGGATGGCTCTTCGAGGGAGAGGTGTTTGTGGACGGTTCCTCATTTGTTACCCAGCATAGCGGCCTGCGTCGTGCGGGATGGGCTGTCATCAGCTGCAACGATGATGGCTCGTTCAGATGTGGAATGTATGGTGTTGTCCCCTTGGCATGGTCTTTGACGCAGTCCTCTAGGGACGCGGAAGATTATGCGTTCCACATGTTGTCGCGTTTCTCGGTCGACCCTGCAAGCGAGGGGTCCCTGACAGTCTTCTCGGATTGAGCTGGGTCCATAGGCTGCACCAGCAACGCCTCGAAAGCGCCGAGCCTCATGAATCCCAACAGACATGTTTGGGAGAGCTGGTGGCTGAAGCACGGTGACAGTGCGAGCGCGAGAAAAATCAAGCATCACAAGATGCCTCTTTCTTCGATTCGTGGTGCAGGCTTGGCAACAGTCTCGCGGACCGATGGGCCAAAAAGGGGGCCCTGCTCTGGAAGGTTCCCCCCAGAAGGTCCTCTTCATGGAAGCCTGTGAAGATACTGCTGTCAAACTGGTTAGATGGATCAGACATGTGCACGCGTGGCTCGGAAACCACGAGGCCTGGGACACTGAGGGTGTGGTAGGCACTTCGGGTGTTGTCCTTGACCTAGAATATGACACCGACGATCGTGACGCCGCATTCCTCGAGGAAGCCCTCCGAAGCCGCGAGAGGATTGACTGGAGGCTCGCCGCCCCTGCCCCGCCGCCGCCCGAGCCCGAGCCCGAGCCGATCGATGTGGGGGGCGTGGAGGTGGGGGTGATGTCTGGGAGGCCGTGATTGTTTCAAGGGCACTCGGTGGTGAAATGCGACGTGGAAGGTACCGAACACCCGTGCTTGTCTTTTTGCAAGTCCTGCGGGGCCTCGCTGGCCCAGCGAGTGCTGCCTGGGAAGGACATCGCGGGGGCCTGCCTGGGCCCAGGGCACCCTGGGCTTGGTACCCAGAGGTCCCGTCTCCGTCGGTACCTTCACCCCTCGGCCTTCCATCCTCCTCTGCTGCTTTCTGCTTTTAGAGGCCCCGAGGACGAGGATATCGAATGGCTCCAGGGGAAGCTGGGGGGGCCTGTTGGAGGTGTTGGGTCCTCGGTGGGGGTTGGACCTTCGCTGGGGCCCGCTGGCGGGCCCCCTGGGGGCCCCGTGGCCAGCCGCTTTCAGACCCCCGCCAGCTTCCACCAGTACGGGGTCTCGGTCCCCGTACTGGACCTGGGGCGAGTTGCTCGCCTGCATGGGTTTGCCTCGCCCGATTCGGCGGTAGAATGGGCGCAGGAGTGCAGGCGAGCTAAGCGCGAGGCCGAGGCCACAGAGGCCTGGCCACTCGAGGGCGACTAGCCCCGTTCCAGCCGCTGAGGCGGTAGGCGGACTTCGTCCGCCCTACCCCACACCACACCACACCTCCTCCTCCTCCTCTTCCTCCTCCTCCTCCTCCTCCTCCTCCTCCTCCTCCTCCAACCTATCCTCCCTATCCTCCCTATCCTCCCTATCCTCCCTATCCTCCTCCTCCTCCTCCTCCTTCTCCTCCTCCTCCTCCTCATTCCTCCTCCTCCCTCCTCATCCTGCTGTTGCCCCCTCGTTCTCCTCTTCATCCCTAATTCCCTCCCTCCCTACCTCAGGAGGACTTTCCGCTTCGCCCGAGAACGAAGCCAACCCCGCCCGTTCCCTGGGATCGTCTCCCTGCGCGCCGCACAGGGCCAGGTAGCCCAAGGTAGCGGCGATCGTGCTGCTGAAGGACACCTGGCTGAGGAGACGAGCGGAAGAGACCTGGCGGAGGAGGAGGAGGAGGAAGGAGGAGGAGGAGGTGGAAGAGGAGGAGGAGGAGGACGAGGAGGGGGAGGAGGAGGTGGAAGAGGAGGAAGACGAGGAGGAGGAGGAGGAGAATGGAGGAAGGAGGATGGCGGATGGAATCAGCCCAGGGTGGCGGCGACCGTGCTGCCGAAGGGCACATGGCGCGCTCCAGAGACCCCAGACCTGTGACGATACTTGTTCAAAAACTCGCACTGTGTTTCCTTCATGTCGGCCTACGGGGCCCGCTCTCTGGCCTCTGACCCCGGGACAATAAAAAATGGATCCGGGACGTAAAACTATCCCCATTGAACGAACGCACCGTCAGATGCCTTTGGCGAACCTCGCCTTCCCATGAGATCTGGGCGTCGCATCATTATCACGCTGAACGCTTAGGGCTGGCTTCGGGCCCCAAGGCCCTCGCAAATCGACCCAACTCGACGAAGACGGCAAAAGATGGGGTCTAGGTCTTCGGTTCTCCAGCTTCAAGAAACAGGAGAGCCCAACATCGCATCTATCAAACAGATCCGCGATCGAAATGTACTGGATCGGCGAAAATCGGCAGCCGCATGGGGAGAAGTCTAATCGGAGAGTATCGACAGGCTACCGTCTGTAGTAGGCGTCCATTGAGAAATCGGAATCCAAATCGGAACCCGAAGCCGAATCGAATCAGAATCGGAAGTCATCGAAATCGAATGGAATCAGGGAAGTCGTAATGAGCCCTGCGATGTAGCTTTGCTTGCGCTGTGTCGAATCTCAGGGTCGGCGAAGCCAGCCGAAGGTCGATCGGCGAGTCCGAAGGCGGAAGATTGGTGAACGCTTCGCGGAGTGAAACGTCAGTATTGTTGGTTGGATTCAGGGCTTCTGGAGCAGGACCACTGCTTGGGCGTCAAGGGAACCAGCCCGCGGCCCGCGACGCGGCTGGAGAAGACGCGTGGTGCGAACAAGCAAACCGATCTGCGGAGAAAGGGTGCAGGAGCAGAAGGATGAAGAGGAGGAGGAGGAGGAGAATGAGGAGAAGGAGGAAGAGAGGAGAAGGACGACGACGAGGATGAGAAATGATGAAAGGGAAAAGGGGCAGGTTGATGAGGTGGAGAAGGGAGAGGAGGAGGAGGAGAAGGAGGAGGAGGAGAAGAGGAGGAGGAGGCGGAGGAGGAGGAAGAGGAGGAGAGGGAGGAGGAGGCAGCAAACAAATAAGTATTTGTTGTACTCCTCGGGCCCGACTCCGCCCTGAATGGCACGTAAAACCGCTCGAGCACAGCGCAGAGCAAACGAAAGGGGGAGGAGGCGGAAAGAAGAGAGCGCCCGCCAGCTCAGCCACTGACACGGGCGCGTCGGCTCTTAGAGTCCGCCGGGGAAGCTCTCGACCCTCTACCACCTCCAGGGGACATAGAGAAACCTCCAACGCCTTCCATTAGGCCCATGGGGACAGCCCCCGATCCGGCGCCCTCGCCATGGCACATAAGGAATTCGCCGGCCCAACGGGCCAGGGCGTGCTAAGATCTCCGGTACCTGGTTAACAGTATTTCTAGTTCGCGCGCGCGGGGCGGCCCCTGGGGGTCCCCGGACGAAAAGTACCCCGGCAAGGTCCCGGCAAGTCCCCGGCAAGTCCCCGGCAAGGTCGGGTCAGAGATGCCGGAGTTCTGTTTCGGAGTCCAAGAGGGCTCCAGATCGGTCCAAGAGGGCCCCGAGAAGCTTTCTAGACGGTCCAAGAGAGGCCCGAGACGGCCAAAGATCGCCCGAAGACGCCCCAGATGGCCCCAAGACAGCCCAAGAGGCCTCCAAGACGCTCCAAGGGCCTTCCAAGAGGCCTCCGAAGAGGGCCCCAAGTTGCCAAAATCGTTGATTTTCATTGGTTTTTTCTATGTTTTTTTGCGTTCTGGCCTTTTCGCTTCCGGACGCTCCAAGAGGGCCCAAGAGGCCTTCAAGACTGCTCCAAGACGGCCCACGAGGCTCCCAAGACGGCCCCGGAGCGGCCCAAGAGCGCCCCCCAGACGGCCCAAGTGCTGCCCAAGGCGGACCAAGAGGCCCCAAGACGGGCCCAAGAGGGGCTCAAGAAGGGAACCGAGAACTGAAAAATCGAGCCCTCCGCCCCAGAAGGCGCCCAGGACCCCGAAAGAGGCCCCAAGAGACTCTCCAAGACACCCCCAAGACGCCCCAATAAGCTCCCGTGAGGCCCCAAGAGGACCAACAACGTCAGGCCCCAGGCCCCAAGAGGACCAACAAATACCGCCAAGAGCCCGCCGAAAGCCCCCCAAGAGACCGTCACGAGAGCTCAGGAGGCCCCCTGGAGGCCTCCCGAGTTCTCCAAGAGGCCTAAAAAGAGGCGCCAAGAGGCCCCAAACGGCCCCACCGAGGCTCCAAGAGGCCACGAACGCGCAAGCAAACGCCTGCGATGGCACAATACGGGCCGGCGGAATGAGCGAAGCGATTAAATAAGGGCATCCTCATCACAGTCACCGTCAGCGAGTCCTTGAAGGTCCGTGGGGACAGCACCCGACACAGTACCCTCCAGTTGGAACATACTCCTAAGAGTGCTGACTGGGCCTTGGGCCCGACCCAAGAGAGGAACACTCTGTTCACTGGCCTCCCCGCTCGTGCGTCTCGTGCCGAGACGGCTCTGCCCAGAGATCCTCGACGAATCGGATCTGGCCCGGAGCTTCCTCGTCATGGAGCCGCTCTCCCTGCGAGCCCCTGGGGTCAGCCCCCGACTCCGTATCTCCCGGCGGGCACATGCTCTCAGAAGAAACGCTGACTGAGACCGTGCTTCTGCATCTCACATTTGACTTTGGCAAAATGGCTGGAGTCAACTTACTGACTGTTTTCCCTGGTGCCCCAGGACGCCTGCGCACTGGCCGGCAAGGCCTCGTAGGATACGCTTGCCTGCACAGCCGCACCGAAGGCAGGCATGGATCTTCAGGTCCGCGAAGTAGCCCAGCAAGTGGGAGCAATGAATCGGGACGCCTTGCACCATGACGCCGACATCGCCCACTCATTGAATATTTCCGCCCACTGGTACTACACCCGCACTGATGGCAATGGGAAGCGGATCCCACCCCAGTGGAAGCCGCATGCTCCGACAGGCGTACCCGCCTTTGATGTTCCTTGGCCATGGATCGAGTGGGTCAAACGTTCGGGCCCCGCCTCAGAGGCAGCCAGAAAAGCCTTCGCAAGGCGCTTCCCCGCCGCCGGTCCCATGGTTCTGGCATGCCCCACGGAGCCCGCACTTATTTTACCAAAAACCCAGCAGCTTCATCCGCGATGATGTTGACCAAATAATGATCCAAGGGAGCCCCATTCCTCTGAGCCTCCTCTACCAACTACTGGCTCTCGATTTGACCAATCGGATGAACTCCAACAGCCTGCTCTTGCCAATCGTAGACAAGCAAGATCGACGTTGGTCGGATGCGCGCTGCCTTGGGGAAGTTCGGCCACACCTTCGTCAACAATTGATTGGCCCGCGGCAAAAATGATCGTTTTGCCCAGACCCAGAAAATCTCCAATCACCATCGCTGGAGGCGTCAGTGGACAACGATGGATGGTCTGCTTCCCAATTCTGCCTCCACCACGTCCACGTGGCATGTGCAAGCTCGGCCCTTCGCTGCAAGTGCCATCCCGATCCATCGAAGGCGTGGATCCACAGCACGTTCACCCCCAGAAGCGTCGCCGCCGATCAAGATCTCTGCGAAGTCATGCGTGCCCGACACTTCCCCAAAGGTGGTATCTCCAGACATGCAGGGTGGCTCCTCCACTCTGGTCCACGACGCGGGGAACACCCCGAAGCCACAGACGAGGCAGCGCTGCGTATTCCTCTCGGGCTCGATTTGCCGAAAAGCCTGAGATAGTCGTGCAATGCCCATTGCATTATAATGCTCATTGCTTTCTGCAGCCCTAGCATTGATGCACATCCGCCCCCTCAACCTCCTCGCACCTCGGGCACAACAGACCCAAACTCGTTCCAAGCATGAGAAGCGATCCGTGTGCGCATCGAAGAAGCGCCTGACATAACAGCCTCGATGGTACACACCACATGATGAGATTGCCTTTTCTTGTGTGAATTGATGCGAGAAGCTGCGCAGCATGGCATCACACGGAGATCAGCTCGTTGCGCGAGGTCGCTACCACTCCTGTGCACTGGCCCCGTTGCATAACAGTCTGTCCAGAGACTCCGCGATGGCATCTTTTTGGGCGACCATAGCCTGTGGACCCGTTACAGTCATGGTGTCTGTGGTTCGATACATGTCCCCACTGTCGCCAAACCAATCCCAAGGCCAACGGGATCCCAGCCCAAACCGCGCGGCATCGCGCGGGGTGGCGATCGCAGCTGAGACCGCGCCACTAATGCCTCTCCACCTGTCCTTCCTTGGTCTGGCAACGACTCGCAGCCTGGCGGCCCTTCCAGTGCGTCCGGCAGGCTACGTGTCTAAGCCTGGCCTGAAGATGACAATGATCCATGGTTCAGGCAACCGATGCACAGTCTGATAGCGCTGGTCGCTGCGCCCCACTCGGAGCTGAAGGAGTGCGGCCAGGCACCGCCCTGACCATTTCTTCGCCAAGAGTTTGCCCGAGCGGTCTCCTACAAGCCCCGGTGACCGAAGGTGCCCCCGAAGACCTTGCCCGAGGAATCGGCCAGCGGCAGAACTCCAATCGCGGCCATCTCGGTGCCCGCGCGCATCCTGACAGCTCCTTGGGCAAACCTCTTGACCCGGGTGAAACTCCCATCGGCGCCTCGTCTATGAAGCGATTTCTTCGACCTCGTCAACGCGGCACACCGTCGATCGATCCCTAGGTCAGACGCCGCCGACTCCAACTTCACCTCGTATCCCTCCACCGCGAGAAGCCCATGAAGCTCCTTCCCCAGCTCGATGCACGAGGTCACAATCGTCGTTTGCTCAGAGACCACCAGCCCTGCCACAGTACGCCCTCGAGCAAGGTGTAGCCCGGAGATCCAG